TGAAGTATATGACGAGTTGAAAGTAACATTCCACATAATTTGTGACCGAGGAGTGCAATGTTTGACAATACTTCGCTTCATTTCGTGTACATTTCTACACTGGAAATTTTTGTACACAATAACACAATCTTATACTGTAACTGTTTGACTGTAAACATCGTGAATAAAGAGGCCGCTTTGAACGTTGTGTGACTTGCTATATCAACAGCTGGGGCGGCGAACCGAAATCCCGAAGGTGTGAGTTCGAATAATTTGTGTTTAGTGTTTACCTTTGGAGTTTGTGTCTAATCACGAAAATAGTTCATGTGGTATCAATCCCTCGAAACATGTTGCCAGAGTTGTTGTTGTCATTATGACAGAAGCATGCACTTGGGGAAAGCTTTTCGCTTGACGAAATTCAAAACAAGTGTGATTGAGAATATGGCTGCAGTTCCTGTCTTCGTGGCAAAGCCAAGGGCGAAATTTTTGACCGTGCAAAAGCTGGATAAACAGCTTTTGTTCAAGCTCGTGCGCGCTATGGAGATAATTTTGGAGCTGTTTTAATATAAACGTACAACAGAAAAGTTCAATAGATTGACAGTGACGAGAGTACGAGACGCTAAGATTATATTCAACTTTTTTGTGTTATAAAAATGTATGTTTTGAAATTATGAACTAGAAGTATGAATTCATTGATATTACTCTCATATTGACACTAAATGATGATATTCTTGAGACACTGAATGATCTAATATTAGCTTCAACAATTCTGGTGATCAGGTTACTTCATCATGTCTCTTCAAGACGGAGGACAATTATATATATATATATATATATATATATATATATATATATATATATATATATATATATATATATATATATATATATATATATATATATAGTATATAGTATATATATATATATAGTATATATATATAGTATATATATATAGTATATATATATATATATAGTATATATATAGTATATATATATATATATATATATATATATATATATATATAAATATACATAATGAAAGTGAATGATGTATAGTTGGGCCACCTGTGGTCAGATACTAGCACCTCATCACCAGGCCTGACAATTTGGAGGGGAAAAGGGTGGTGGTGGTATATTTTTAATCTATATAGTTGAACAAGTTACAGGGGGTCATTTTTTCATTTACCAAAAATATAGGGGCATATTTTGTTGATATATGTTTTTAACACCCACCTCCCCCCGAGACGTAATAAACGATCGGTCCACAAGTACTATACATATTTACAATGCATACCATTTCTTGAATTCCATCAATAATGGGTAATCCCATCCTGGAGTATAGCTCTAATATCCAGTGGTACTCTGGTCCTTTTACTTTGTAGCACCAGGTCATACATGATTGTAGCAAGCCAAGGTTGGTAGATGCCTGGTAGTGTGTCTGATGTAAATTGATGTCCTTAGCCCTAAACTTAGTCAAGACACTAAACGACGATTCAGGAAGGTTAGAATGACCCTTACCTAAGTTTGGGTCTATAACCTTCTCTGCATCTTTGGCTCTGTTAGCACACTCAATCTCATATAGGAGTCCATGAAAGTCACACTTCAGGACATGAGCAGAGTGGTATGCTTCCCCAGAGCATTTCATTTCTGGGCAAAACCCATTTAAATCTACATCACATTTTTTACAACTACATTTTACTAACGGATGAAACGAACACAAACCCCCCTCCCATGAATGTATGTCCCTGCTGTGGTACTTTCCAAGCGTGAGCATGGTTGCCCTGTATTTCTCAGGGTCATTATCAGCCTGAACAAGAGCACAGTAATGGTTTCTCTTGGCACTCTGGATAAAACCAGGACCGATACAACCACATGCAGGTTTGTCTTTTTTGGAGACAAATCTATGCTTTTTGCCAGCACAACAGCACTTCACTGATTGTATATTAGGGAACTGCTCTTTGTGAAGGGCAATGAACTGGGTAGTAACAGTCGATTTGCTTTGAAGCTCCTGGAGTTTCTTACCATGGGCCCTTCCCACATGCCCCCCACACAACATAACTCTTGACTCTAATTCATTAGGGAAAGAATACCTGAAACCTAATGCAGATGAGGAGTCGGCATCCTGCCAGTTTACTTCCACCTTCAAATCTTCATCCTTTGCTTTGGACCACAGGACCTGAGCCAAGTGACCCTCAGCAGCCTTCGCTGTGCCCTGCCACAACTCCTCGTCACAAATTTTATCTGCACCTCTCATGGACAGATGGCCATAGTAAAGAAGGCCACCAGTCAGATAGTTTTTTATAATGAAAGTGCAATTTTGACTGAAATAGCCCCTGATCTGCCAACAACCATCACATGTGGTGACAGCACGAGACCAGGAACCCAAAACATCTGACGAGATATCTTTCATTTGCTGCTTTGCAGCATCACATATCTCATCTAATATGGCTTTTATAAAAGGGAAGGCATATTTAATAACTTCTAAAAA